AGTAAGTTTTTATTTTTTTGATAATTCTTTCGGCATTATTTACATCTCTAAGGTCATGTTTATTTGCATTAACAATAGTATCAACAATGTTTTTAACATACTCTATTGTCTCCATTCTTTCAGTGTGTTTTTCCATCTCAAGTCTTTTAATACTTCTTGCATCATCTCCAGTACGTTCAGGAGTGGAAGTATAAGTAAAAGCATCAAGTTTAGCATCGAAACTTAAACTTAATTCGTCTTTATCACTATTAACATCAAGAGATAACAATTTATCTAAAACAGTAATTTCTGTTGATGATTTATCAATAGTTTTTGAGTAGTCCATTGAAGTTGATTGATACATTGCTCCTAACTTTTGATTAATAACAGAAGTAACTGCAGTAGCAGAACTAATTGAAACTGAATTTTGATCATCTTCATTTTTTTCTTCTTCCATCTCATCAAATTTTTGTTCTTCATTACTATCCTCTTTAGGTAATTGATCTTTAGCAGAATATATTTCATCTTGAGTAAATGGTTGACCATCTAAAGATACATTTAATGAAATTTGAGGAGTTCCAAAATCATCTTCATCTTCTTCAAACATAAATGGTGGTAAATTTTTACATATTTCAACACGATAATCATCAATATTACAAATATCATTTCCATCTAATATAATTGATTTAATATTAAACATTTTTCTAAATACATATTGAACATTACTTAAATCTAATATTCTATTATTTGCACAACTCTAACTAAGATAAGTATATTCATTATTTTATAATTAACATTATAACAAACAAGTTCTCTTAAATTAAAACATTTTTTAAATATATTAATATCCATTAATTGATTATTATCAAAAGATAATACTGAAATAGACAATGGATTTGATATATAAACTGATGTAATTTGATTATTATCAGCAATGAAAACATCAAGAGGACGTTCAGTGATATTATTAATTTTTTCAATTTTATTATTACTAACATCTAATACTCTTAAATTTGGAAATACAACTTCATTAAAAATATCTTCTAATTCAGTTAATCCACAATTAGTTAAAGAGAATTCTTCTAAATTTTCCCATTTAGCAGTTGGTATGTTCATTAATAATGAAATAGATTGTAAAATAATATTATCTAAATGTAAAGTTTTGAGATTCTTATAAATATAATCTTTTGTTAAGTCAACACAACCTCCAATATTTTGTATTTTCAATGACTCTAATTGACAATATTTACAAAATTCAAGTAATAAAATATCGTTGTTTTCTTTCTTCATTTGTTCATCTTCTCCATCTTCTTCTTGTGTAATAATTAAACACTTAATTGGAGCTGCCATCTCTTTCATATCACAAAATGAAAACTCGGGATGACTAAGTCCATTAATTAACATAACAACAGATGGAGTAAGTTGGATAAATTTTCCTTGATCAACTTGTTGTTTTATTTTAGTAATTTCATTCTTAACTTCTTCCATTCTAGTTTTTTTATTTTTTAGTTCATTTCTTCATAATTTTTTATTTTTTTCTTTATTTTTTATTTAGTTTTGATTATTCATTTTTTTTTATTGAGTTCTTTATTGAAAACATCAAACAAATGATTTCCTCAATCAAGTTCATATGACGTGTTATCTTTTCATTCAACCAGGGTTTTTAAATTCTTTTAGTTAATTAAGAAAGAAACTAAAAAAAAGGAACTTCATCAAAAAAAGAAATTAAAATATTTTATGAGAAGAATCAATACTGTTGCTGTTAAACGATTAACAACTGAATACAAAAAATTAACACAAGACCCACCACCAGGTATTACTGCTGGACCTATAAGTGAAAGTGATCTTTTTGTTTGGGAAGCTGTTATTATTGGACCTGAAGGAACTGAGTATGAAGGAGGAATATTAACAGCAAAACTAGTATTTCCACCAGATTATCCAATGAACCCACCAAAAATGACATTTACTTGTCCAATGTGGCATCCAAATATTTATCCAAATGGTGATGTTTGTATTTCTATTCTTCATCCACCAACAGAAGATCCTACCCATTATGAACAAATAAGTGAACGATGGAGTCCTGTTCAAAATATTGAAAAAATTCTTCTTTCAGTTATGTCTCTTTTATCTTGTCCAAATTGTGAATCACCAGCAAATGTTGATGCTGCTGTGATGTATCGAACTAAACGAGATAAATATATTAAGAAATGCAAAGAATGTGTTGAACAATCTAAATCAAGATATCGTTCTAAAAATTAAGTTTAATTAAATTTATTTTAATAATTACTTTTTTTCTTTTCTAAATATTTATCTTTTTCAATTTAAATAATTCAATCAATCCATTCAAGTGAAAAACGAACTTCTTTTTGGTTTTTGATGTAATAAGCTTTTTCATCTCTAATATCATTTTGATAATGAATCGTCCATTCTAATTCATTTGGAACTTTCTCTGGTGTCCATCCTAAATTTGTAAATAATTCTATTCCTTCGCTTAGTGTTGTTTTTATTTCATAATGGATATAATGTTCATCACTTGATTTCATTTGGAATAATTTATTAATTATATTAACTATATCAAAATTAGGTAATCGTTTCTCTATATCAATAAAGGCAAAATACCTTTTTTCAAATGAATTAAACCATTCTAACATATGGCTTAATGATTTATTACTTTCATTATTAATTTTATTATTAAATGCCTCTTCTAAATTATTATCACTGATAATATTTCTTTCTAATTCTCTTCTAATGTCATATGAAAGATCACACGCTTCTCTATTAAAGTATGAATGACAAATTTGAGATGGATTAAAAACAGTATTTGAATGTGTTAATAATAGTGGAGTTGTAAGAAGTAGAGTTTGAAGATAATCAAAGAAATATTGTTGAGGAGAAATAGATTCAAGTACATTTAATAACTTTTCTAATTCTTCTTGGACTTCAATAAAATGATGAGGAATAACATCCATTAGATTTCCTTGACATACTTCAAAATATCTTGCTAAAATATCATCAGAATATATGACTCTATTTAAAAAAGGACTTGGATGAGTTTCATTGTATTGTTTTCTCATCGTTTTATACCACTCTAAAAATTGTTCTAAAGTAGGATGATTTTGTTGGTGAAGAGTAAGATAATATCGAGTATCTTTAACAAGAATTATTTGTAAATCTTTTTCACTTGGTTGTGAAAAATCAAATCCAATTTCAAGTAATTCATCATTATCACGTTCTATCTGATCATTACTAATTTCTAATACATAATTAATAGCACAAAGAATATTATAAATTTTTGGATATTCTTTCTTAGGTAATGAACCACATCCATAAATATGATTTATTGTTATATACTCTTTTATTATTTCTATAAAATTATGATAAAGATTTCTATGTTCTAATAAATCATGACAATGATAAACTGCGTATTGACAATATAATGAGAATATAGAATTATATGGAATCATCTTTTCTCTTTTAATTTCTTCAAAATCAAATTTTTCACATAAAAACGAAATAAAACTTAGTTTTGTATGATATTTTTTATGTAAATACATTTCTTTAATGTCCCTTTTATTAGCTTCAGATAACATATTGCTAATGTGTTGAAATTTAGTAGAGTACATAGGAGGTATTTCAGTTTCTCCATCAATAATAATCTTCCATTGTGACGAACTAGTAAATAAAAATTCATCAGAATTTGATACATGAGCTTCAAGGTATATTTTATTAAAATAATTTAATCCTCTACAATAACACATCTTGTTATCATTTAGTGGTGGGTTATTTATATAATATTTATGTGTGGTTTCATATTCTAATTCATTTCCAATACCATACATTGTTTCCTCAAATTCTTTTAATGAGTTATAACTAAAACCATTTCTACTTCCTTCAGAAATAAACATCTTTCCTTGTGGTCCAGTACCAATTATAATTTCTACTGTTTCAACAAATATTATAGATTGAGGAAATGCTTGTTTCCCAGCAGCTAGAATAAGCCTCATAAGTTCATCACCAACACGTTCTTCTACAGTGATTTTTATATAGTTAGAGCAATGAAAAAAAGGGTGGTTTGTAGAAATATTTTCTAAATGGATATGATAAATATCAGATTTAACTTTATAAACAATATTAGTATTATTTCTTTCCATATCACGTATTAATTGTTCAAATGGTGTTTTCACAGAATTGTCAATGTAATCTCTTCCAACAGCTTTCATTATATTAAAAATGAATTTAGTTCTTCTCAAATGTTATTTTAAAAAAAAATTATAAAGAAATAATTAATACCAAATAAAAATTTAAAACTATATTTAAATTAATCTTCACTGAAGAGTGTATTAAAAGCAAAATTTAATACATTCATTACTTCATTTATAGTCAATCTTTCTTGTGGATTATTTTGCCAACATTTACAAATAAGAATATAATACCAATCTGGCATATTTTCAGGTTGTAATAACCTTTTTCCATCAGAAATAAAATCAGCAATTTTCCATGGGAATTTAAATTCTTCAGTTGGATATGCCTTATCCCATTTCCATATTTCATATAATACAATAGAAAAAGAAAATATATCAACAGGAGTTCCATATTTTGCTTGACATAAAATTTCTGGAGCCATATAAGTAGGTGTTCCTACTGATTTTGTAAAGGTTATGTTTGTTAATAATAAATTAAAATTCCTTGAAGATCCAAAGTCGGTTAACTTTGTATTAACAGTAACATCTTCATCTAAAGAAAATATTAAAATATTATCTGGTTTAATATCACGATGAAGAATTCCATTTGAATGGAGATATTGAATACCTTTTGCAGCATCTATCATAAACTTGATCTTTAATCGAGGTTTCAAATTTAAGTTTTTATTTTTCATTAAATCTCGTAATGATCCATACCTAGCAAATTCAGTAACAATACAAATTTTACTTGGAATAAATACAGCCCCATAGAAATAAACAATATAATCTGATCTAAACTTATCTAACATATCAATTTCTTTTTCAAATTCTTCTAATTCATCTTCTTCACATTGTAATTGTTTTAATTTTTTAATTGCAACTTTATTTCCTCTAAATGTTCCAAGATAAACAATTCCAAATGAACCTTCTCCTATTTTCTTTTCTTCTATTAATTCATCATAATCAATATGAGTTGACATTTGTGTTGTATAACTGAATGAAATAATATCATTCATTTTATACTTTTTATGTGAAGAATTAGAAATAATAACAATTGAATCATTCATAGTTCCTGAACATAATGGTGTAATATAAATTTCAACTTCACATGCTTCTCCTTCAGGAAGACATATAGTTTGTGGAACTATTCTTAACGAATATTTAGGGTATTGTGTTTCAATGTAAGTAAATTGTACAAAAACTTTATTCTTTGAATCATTACCAACACACAATATAGTTCTTGATTCTACACCTACGGGTAATCTGTCAGGACCTTCATCAAATAAAAGTGATTGCCTATCAAATACTAATGGAGAGTAATTATTAAATTTATTAAAATGAATGTTAGAATATCTTATTGCAAAAATATTTAATCCAGAGTCAATGTTAATATATCCACTTGGTAAATCACTTTTTTTATATTTATTAATTGCAATACCAGTATATATGATTATACCCAATAATATTGCTGAAACTGATATAAATATAATCAAACTAATAAGTATGACTGCAATGATATTAACTGTACAAACATTGTTTTTAATATGATAAAAGAATGAACACTTGGTACATACTTGACCATCTGATGCAATACAATGTTCAATTGTTGAAATAGAAACACATTTTTGTTTATCATTTATATTTAAAACATATCCTTTAATACATTTAATACATTGTATAGAAGTACAATGTTCACAATCAGCTTCACATTTTGTACAATGAGAATCTTGAGTAATTCTATATCCATTTTCACATAAAATACACCCAACAGTATAGTCAACTTTTAAACAATGTTCAAGTTCTGAAATTGGAGAACATTTCACTCCATGAAGATAATACCCTTCATTACAACTAGTACACCCAGAAAAAGAACACTGAGCACATTCCCCAAATATCTTACAACTTGAACAGGTTGTTTTATTAATAAAATAACCATCTTCACATATAACACAACCTGCGTCATTGAAAAATGGTATCAAACAATGGGTTTGATTGGAATATATACACGAATAAGATTGAACAATATATCCTTGATCACAACTGATACACCCTTGTGAAGTACAAGAAGTACAATTAGCTGGACAATTAACACATTTCATTGATTCATCTAAATAATATTTTGTTTCACAAAGTGAACAATGTCCATTTTGATATTCTACACAATGAGTTTGTTTCATCACTTCTGTTGTTATTTTCTCACATAATCCTCCAACTGAAATAAATTCAGATAAACATTTTTCACATGTATTTCCATCTAAACAATAAGAACACCCATCAACACATTTTGTACATTGGTCTTTGGTTAAATAAAATCCTTCTTCACAATGGTAACACTGTGACTTGTTTGTTGTTTCTAAACAATGATATTGTTCTTTAGAAATACATTGACCATTTGAAAGAATAACATAACCTTCTTTACAAAGATGACATATCTGTTCGTCACATGACAAACAATGACTATAACGTTCAGAGCAATTTTGACAGATTCCTTCAATGGATATATATCCGTTTTGACATTTTGATTGTTTTCCATAAATGTATAACTCAACCGAACTCGAATTAATACAAGAAATCCCATCCCATGTAGTGTTTTTTTCACATAGTATACATGTATTATTATCACAAACTAAACAATTTGATGGGCACGGTTTGCAATTACCTGAAGACTCATCAAACTGATATCCATCTATACATTTCATACAAACACTGGTTCTCCATTCACATAAATCATATGATGAAGATAAAACACAGTTATTCATTGTATTTAAAGAATAATTGAGCATACAACTAAGGCATTGAGTGAAATTACAAGTATTGCAAAATTCAAATTTTGTTGAACATTTTTTGCATACACCATTTTCTAAAAAATGAGTTGAATTACATTGATAACAACGAAAACCATATGAGATACATAA